CTCTCTGCAGTCTGAGAGAAACCATGCAGTGTCTCTGTATCCCAAGAGTCTGTATGGTCTCTCTACATCCAGAGGGATCCTGAGTGGTCTCTCTACATCCCAGGAGAGCCCTTCATTCTCTCTGCATTCAGAAGAGTCTGTAGTCTCCCAAGAGAGGTAAGACAGGCCATAGAAAAAGGACACAGCTATAGCTCAACAAACAATGGTTTCCATATCTCTTCCTTAATGTGGACCAACTCATGGCCTGTGTTAAAGGTGATCCTTTCATAATATACAAAGATTGACCTTAAAATGGACTGGTTTCTTGAAGAGTGAGTATTGCAAACTCCATGATTTCTTACGTGCATTCTGAGAAACGTTCACCTGACAAAGCTTGTTTCATTTGAATTCCATTAAACACTATACTAACTTCAGTTACTGTATATGACTAATATCAAGATTAAATTTCTGAACTGATTTGATTGTCAAAGTAGCATGAAAAACAATGATGCTGTAGCTACAGTACTTGGAAAGCACCTTCATTTAAAAATATTATGGAAGACGTCCACTTATGGGCTCTGTGGTCCAGTTAATACAGGATCATACAGAGGAATTATCAGATCAGCAAAGATACAGTATGTATTCAAGGCTCCAACAACAGCACCTGGGATTTAAACCTAACACCCTCCGAGTCCTAACTCCTACAGTACTTAGAGCTGCAGCCTTAATGTGGGAACTTCAAGCACACATTTTTAACGCAATTTTTATGCAGCATTTTTTCATTTCAATAATTATTTTTCTCTGACAGTGTGCACGTTATTACAAAATCCATAATAAATCTATTTCCTCCTCGTTTTCATTCTAGTTCTCATTTTTCTATCTCTGGAAATCATTATGTGTCTGTCAAAATAAATTACTTTTTAACAACTCATATTTAACTTAACACTTTCTGAAAAACAAGACAAGTTTTACACAGAATTGGAATTGCCGAGTGAAAGGCAGTTTTTACATATATAGAACACAGAAATTAATGACTATAATGCATTTATATTAATAGGGCAGAACTTCCATAACCATAGTTAATATTCTCTGAATTTTAATTTCCTCTACAGTTATACAGAGCTGTGAGGCAGTTGCACTAACTAGCAGAAGTTGGGTTTGATTCTGAACTGGAACACCTTCAACGTACAGTATTCCACACACCTGCCAAATGCCTGCTGGTAGATTGAATTACCGGCTAATTTGCACATTATAACCAGTATGGGATCTGAAGGTATATTTTGAAAAATAAAATTTATATATGCCAACATTACAATCCCATATACAGTTTGCTATACATTGATTCAATAACACTTGATTCATACATACTTACAGTAGCTGCTATACTTACACCAAGATTTAGTTTCCATTGCCTGATGCTTTGCAAACATTGCGCCGACAATCCAGTCATAAGGCAGTATTCAATGGATAATCTCATGGAACTACTTTCCCACACATGATGAACACAGCATTTTATCTTAATTTTAATATGCTTTGCATGTTATCAGGGTGGCACTGTGTTATAGTCCTTACAATTGCTCCCTCTCAGAGATGGGGTCCTGGATTCAATTCCAGGGGTGCCATGTGTGTGGAGTTAGTACTGTATGTTCTCCCCATGTTCATGTGGGTGTCCGCCAGGTCCTCTGGTTTCCTCCCACAGACATGCTGGGAAGTTAATTGACTTCTGGGAAAACTGGCCTCTCACCTACTCCTTTCCGGGATAGACTAACTCCCCTGAACGGCTGAATTGGATAAAGCAGTTGGAAAATGGAAGGATGGATGTTATCTTACTCGTATATTATATATTACCATGCCATAAATATGCACAGTACAGTGCATAGGTAGACATGTCAACAGTACACCTTTAATATTGCTTGGAATATTTTGCATTAAGCAACAAAGCAAAAGCGTCCATATTTACCTACATCACAGCATTCTTATCTTCTCTGCTCTCATACTGTTACATCTTTGTGTCAGTATTTGTTTACCAATGAAAACAAAAACTAGCTCCTGAATTAATACCCGTTATGCCTGGAAAGCAAGTAAAAAGTGTTTTAGATATATCTGTGCCCAAGAAGCACCCAAAATTGCTCCCCTGGGAATGAATAAAGTATTTTGAATTTAAAAAGTGTTAGTTTAGACTTGAATGGAAAACAGTGGCAATGGGGCTGATGATGGAAAGGGCATCAGAAAATGATGATGACGTTGAGATGGTGAAAGTACAAGCAAGAGCGCTTTCTGTAGCTCATCTATGTGAAGTATTGACTACAAAGAGAATGGGTTCGAGATCTGAGTAAATGGTCCTAGAATAGTCCCTCTTGTTGCGATACTACTCTAAAACACATTCTACTAAATGTGCCTAAATTTGGGAAGAGCTATTACTCTATTGTCAAGCTCTGCTGGGGAACAAAGGACACACATGACATATTATGCTTAGGAATCCCTGACTTTAGGGGGTAAAATAATTAGTTTTTAGAAACTGCTGGGATAGCAGATTCAATTATTAAATGTTATTAAATTATCTAATTACATTTTCTTATTATTTGATTAGATTACCTCCTTATTTACCTCCATATTGTAATACATTCCTTTTGTAACAACTGGGGGCAGTTATTTCCTGCTTTTATTTTTTTAAACTACATTTCACAGTGTGGTATCCATATTCTCACCATTCACAAATTATTACCACAGCACTCAATTGCAGGTTTCCACTGGGTGAACAGTGAAGCCTCTGAGAAACAAGAAGCAGATCTTAACTACTTGGGTTTGGCTCAGATGTGGTCTGACTTTTAGGTTTAATCCAGCTTTAGTCAGCCACATGAGATTTCAGCACAGCGTTGACTCTTCACTTACACTCGTAAAACCAAACCTCAAAGCAGAGAATTTCAGAGAACAACTTCCTGAAGGGAGAAAAAACATAGTCAGATTTAAAGCGGGTTTTTGTTGCATCTTACAAATTCACAGCAGCAGACAGCAAAGTTTAAAAGACAAGGATGCCCAAATTTATTTCTAGGAGCCACTGAACCTCAGCTAAATAAGGCGGTAACATGCAGATCTTATCTGACAGGGTGCTTAAGCAGCGAGAGAAAGCAAAATGACTGAAGCTTACATGTTTGAACAATAGGATGAATCTAGGGCAAGGCACAACTGCAATTTGAAACCAAACATGTAGGCTTTACATGATTAAAAATACCCTTATCAAGTGCAACAGGACCCTTTTCCTTTTAAAACACACAGTAAACAAACTTTGGTAGCAATTTAGCTTTTGGAGAAAAGTAATCGTGGGCTTGTCACAAACTGTGCAGTACATGAACACATTTATAAATGCTAAGTCTACACAGATTAGCAAAGCACATAAAAACAGGTAATAAGAAGCAATCAACATTTAAATGTACTTGACAGTGTTAATATTTTACATGTGGGCATCTGGAAGCCTTCCTTTCACAGCATGTAAGTCATTACTATTATGATTTACAACTGTATACTGTATGAGGTGTCCACGTTTTATACAATTATATTATGGAGAAATTATTCTTAAATAAGCATTTACAACATAGGTTATTTTACACAAAGGTTATAATTTAACTAGAGGTTAGCATGGCATGTTCTATTTCTCCCAAACTTTGCACCCTAACTGCAGATTTTCAAAACTATATGGCAATAACCAACATTGCACTTGCCCACCTGTGAAATGCAGTTTGGTATTTTTATTTCTGTACTTTTAATTATTATACTCTAATGTGGTGATACAGATGTACACTTGAGTTAAAACAGACTGCAGAGAAGACTCTTCTTTATGTTCAGTCAGCATGTACAGTATACACCTGCATCAATACAAAATTAGCAGAGTAAATAAAACAGGATTCAGATTTTATGTCCCTTTCAGTGGTGAGAACCTTTCAAAACAATGTATAAAAGAAAACAGATCTGAAAACCTGAATCTCCTCCCACACTGGAGTTTTACTTATAAAGCACCTGACTTAGGACTGAGGCTGAAATAAAATAGGCTTTTCCTGTCCTCCAAACTGAAAGTCGTGCAATTTCATATCATATATATATATCATATAAATCAGTTAGTGTTCCCTTCATGTTAAATTGAGAGGTATCCAACACTGGAATAGACAGCAGTACCTAGTTTTGATATAAAGGGACAAACAAGTTCAATGCAGATGACTCAACTAAAAGTGAAAGAAAGTGCAAACAAGCAATGAAATTCAGTTTGAAATTACACTATCTATAGGCATCAGAATCCTGAGTTAAGGTATTTCGAGACTTCCACCAACAGAACTGAGGATGTCAGCACCCTTGCCATTAATGTGAGGACGTAGCTACAACAGAACATTATAACTGGACATTTATTTATCACAGTGCATGACTTTCAAACAGCATGTACAGTGCTTCCTGATGATGAGAAAACATGTCTGAAGCCATAAAACAGGGTATACTAGTGCTGTGTGTAGACAAACAATAACTGAGGTCCAGAAGCTACAAGGGCAAATTTCTTCTTCTTGTGTTTTACTCTTGTGTCTTATTCTATTCTGTTGGTTATTTTGTGGACAGAAGTAAACTTATATCCCTTTTAACCTTCCAGAGATGAGATGTTTATGACATGCTGTGCTGCAAATCCAAGGTTCTCAAGTCACATACTGTACATGATTCCTTCTGTCAAGGATTCCCATTGAAGTCATGATGGAATTAATTTGAGGGTCTCAAGACAATTTCCATTTCAGCATTTACAACAGAATGGAATAACCAACCCTGTGATCATGTTGCCTTTATCTCTTGTTCACCTAGGGATTATTGATAATATAACAAAATTACAAGAGCATAGGTAGAGTTTAAACATTCATTTTTCAACTGCATACTTCAATTTAAACACCCTAATTAGGATTCATCCTCATTTCAGTGTTGCATTGACTGGGTTAGGGATGCTTTTATATAAACAGGCTAAAGTGTAAATGTTGCATTTGTGATTTGAAAAAATTGAACATGGTTAATTTGTACTGAGATAACAGCTGTCGGTGAACTTTTTATTCCAAGAAAATAAATGATTAAATGAGAATTATGCGACAGGCTAAGCGGGGTGGGTGGAATAATGCAAGAGAAACAGGTTCAGGGATGAGAAAACAACATCATTTGTCACTGTTGTGTCAGAGCGAAACAACCAGTGACTCAGTGAAAACAAAGTTAGAAGCGAATAAGCTTCCTTTGCAATGGGCTCAAAAATTGAACAGGGTGCAATGTGATCAAAAATAAATCCGGGAAGCCCTAATTATTGGGAGAGGCAATCCAGCCGCAACCCTTCTGCCCATGAGGCCAGTAAAAAATAGACTATAAAGTGCAACTCACTTTATCTGACTCCAAACAAAAGGATCAACCACTTTAACACAAGTCACTAAGGCATATTGTGCTTCAATGATTCTTTCATTCTTTGGAATGCCCTCTAGTAGAAAATTCTGTGAGAGACAAGAATAGTACTTACTTGTTTTACCCTCTCCAAACTGAAATCTGGAAAAGCTCTGGTGTTTGATTTCCCAAGGAAAATAAAACACAAGCCTCAGGGAGAGTGAAGGTTGCTTACCTCTGATACTCTTGATAAACTGATAAACTGATAGACTTGCATCCGATTTGCAAACTAGAAAAGAACTGCCTGTTCAGCTGTTTCAGGACACTTTTATAAACCTAGTGTATAATATGTTTCGAGCAAAAAAAAAAAAAGCTAAAACAATAAAAAAGCACAGATGGCAGTTAAAAACAACAGCCCTCAACCAAGATTTTCTGAAGGGATCCATTAGCAAGTTACAAGTTAGTCCATAATCCAATGTTTGCACATAGCTTTAATGTCACATTAGAATTTATCATCATGTGTTCTATTTGGAAAACACATACCAAAGCTTTAACAACAGGCTGGGAATTGATTTATGGTGTTTGTATTTCACCTATTTTACAGACTGAAGTGGAAATAAGAAAAACAACAGCAGTTCTTTCACCATCTGTTACTTTTTTAGAATAGAGCTACAGAATCCACCACTGCCCATGGGTACCAGAATTGAGACATCCAGATTCCCCCAGTCAGAAAGACAAGGACCAATGAAATCATCCCTAGGGAATGCTAAATTTCAACTTCAAGGACTAGTCATTTCTGAGCAACATTACTTGCACGTCTTTATGTCGAATGCCCTGTCAGATTAATAAAAAAAGAACCCAATATGAATGACAAGAATGAATTAAGAAGAACAATTAAAATGAACAACATATAGGGGTCAGATAATAGCACCATTCCTTTGTTTTTCATATTTCTTTCAGTTTCTCCAAAGTCCAAAACACCCAGCAACCTTCAACAGAAATCCGAGCATTGTGCTCATCTGAACACCAACATACACTATAAAAGGGAAAAGAAACATAATAAATGCATTAAAAAACATGTAGTTTGCAAATCCCTTGGAACCCTGAATACTGTGTAAGTTACAAATGGACGGTAGTGCAAAGCCTTAAGGAAGCCCAGTTCATGTGAGACAGAAGCTTTGGTCTCCCATCACCTCGAACCAAATGGGGAACCACAACAAGTTTTTACGAATGACAGGTATTGAAAAGGAGCTGCTTCCCGACCTCGGACAACTCTATCCCCATCTGACAGCTCTTTACACTGCATTCCAGCAACAATACGGGTTCTTCCCATTTGTGTTATATCACCCCTCCCACCCCATCAACAGTGTTGAGATCCCTACTCGTTTACGAAAGTGCATCACCGCCGTGAACGGCTCTTTAAGGCCTCAAGAGAACGATGTGTTTGAGCTGTCCTCCAAGCAGGGGGGTTCAGTGCTTGGTTTCTGTCAGGATGATATTTGCTGTAACAAAGATCAAGCAAGAGATGGCCCACACCAGGACAAAGATGACCCAGACTGTGTGGCGGAAGGGAGACCGGTGCTTGTTGACCACGTCCTGCCCGAAAACTGGCTCCAGGTGCTTCCGACTGAAGAAGACTAGACAAGCAGGAATGATGTACTGGATGCCCGTGCCAGCATAGGCACCTGTGATGCCAACCAGATATTCCAAGTCGTGTGTACAGAAGGCCACAATGATCGGGGGGATGAGGGTGATGAGGGGGAAGATCACTCTGTCCACCACCCAGGGGTAGGTGCCGCCTTCCCGATGGAAGAGCGTCTTCCAGTTGTTGCGGAGGGTGACGGCAATGATTGGGAAGTTGGTGCTGATGGTGAAGACCGGGAAGAGCCCCAGGAAGTAGCGCAGGACGGCCACGTCAATGACGTCGCAGTTGTCAGTGAAGTTGAGCGTGTACATGTCCTTCAGGAAGCTGTTGTTGAAGCAGAAGATGGCCGTGAAGGACAGCAGGCTGTAGAAACCCAGAATGAGCACGTAGTCTGACAGCACAAGGCAGTTCATTCGCTTCTTGTCCGAGATGGGCGTCACCAGGGAAGGCAGGGAGTGCTGGCACATAAAGGAGTAGACACACACCCCGAAAAGGTTAGGGACCCCTGTTATATCAGCCATAGGTGGATGACCCTTTCCCTCACCCTTTCCAATGCGGATCAAAGCTAGGATGATCATCATGATGAATGCTGGAAGACAGAAGAATAAAATTAAAGAAAATGTAAGGCAGGAAGTTGACAGGCACCTTTTAAAATAGAACTGCTTACCTCACCTGGGTGTGTTTACATTTTGGATAACTCAAATTTTCTAGTGAAAACAGAAACATAACACTGTTGTGGAATTTTCTCTGCAGTTTGTGAAAGCAGCTGTGAAAAGCACAGAAGTGCAAACACAAAAAAATAGAGGCATGGAAAAGATGTATGACAGTGATGATCTTTTTCTTTCATTTTACCTGGCTTTATTTAAAAGGCAACAAAGATTGTAAGGAATAGTTTTTTACCTTGCATACATGTAAGAGTATCCCTTACAATTCTGGCACAATCAAATCAAAATGGTTAAAATGAATCAAGGCAATGAACTGCCCGAGATTGCTGTGTGTCAAACATTCAGAGTCGTGGTACAGATCTTCAGAAAAGTTCAAGTGTGCATTTTTTTAAAAAATAACCTTTTTCTTTTGACATTAACAGCCCCCTCTTGACCTGAATGAACAAGCTTCTGGAGAAACGCGCCCTTGTGGTTTTAGAAAAGGCCTTTTTTGCAGCACATCATTTTACTCTAAATGACCACCCTTACACATCTTTCTTTTAATCATGAGAGAATTAATGTTGACAAGGAAACATCATTTTGAACCAATTAGGCACTGTGATTGATTCAACAACACTGCTCTCAAACTCATGCACACCAGCCGAGCTGAGGCTGCTTATGAACAGCATGTGCAACAATATAGACCCAGACAACAAAGGACACAGTTTTCTCAATGCTACTTCTTAATTACATGCTTATCTCACCTTGTTTTCATATTTTCGGAAACAATACCACAGAGTATTCTTCCTAATGCAATTAAACACTATGCACTTGCTTTGGAGACTGCAGTTGAAAACAGTGTGACACTCTTCAGGACAATTTCAAGAACTAGGGGTAAGGTGTTGTTAATGCACATTGTCTCCACTTCATATACATTCTGAACCAAACAGAAGTAATAGTAGTAGTAGAAATAATGTTACAGCCTATCATGATTAGAAGGACTGCGGAATGCTACAAACACAGAATGCAATAAACAGCTATTTCCTAAATGTATAAATTAATCCATCCATTTTCTAACCACTTTATCTAATACAGGGTCTGTAGGGGAACAAGAACCTACTCCAGCAAACAACAGGCGCAAAGCAGGACACACCACGGATGAGACACCAGTCCAACACAGGGCACACACAGGCACAAATTCTGACATGCAAACAATCACATCGCAGCCAGTTTTCCCAGATGCTAATTAACCCAGCAGTAAGTCTTTGGACTGTGGGAAGAAACATGTGCGCATGGGGGGATCATACAAAATCTACACAGGCTGCACCCCAGGACCATAACTGAACCCAGGGCCCCAGCTCTGAGAGGCGGTAATGCTAACCTCTGCCACCATGCAGACACTTTCTCTATGGGGGAACAAAGTCCCAGTTTAAAAGACTCTGACATGCTGTAAGAGTTACTACTAGCCAGTAGACAACAGCAAGCATGTTATTTTGGACAGCCCTCTCAACACTAATCAGGGCTAAATCGGAAATAAGAAAATGCTCCATCAGTGCCAGAATGAGATGGATTACTTCTTTACAGACATACTGCTAAATGAAAGGCCAATTGGTAATCCATTAATCTGAAGTTGGCGAGGGTCGGTGATCCAACTAAACTGTGGGTCTAATAAATATCATAGTGACACAGCCAAGAACAGGACTGAATCACTTTCGCTTCTTCAAAGTTCGATGCTTGTGCAATATTCATGAGATATTCAAGAGGTTTGTAATGTGTAGCATTAATCTCTTCACATTAATCAAAGACTTTGGCATTTGCAAAAACGATAATGTATTACAGGCAATAATGAAAACCACGAGTAGCAAGATAAAAAGAAAACAAAAATCTAAGATAATAGTGAAACAGATTTTTTAGATTTTCAGGATTGGATGTGTCACCAATGTGTGATCCAAACATTACTTAAATTTATATTCTTTGGAATGTGAAGTCATTCTCTTCCATCTCTGACAGAATATTCCTTTTAGAATATTCCTCTCCCTTTCCTTGGGAGTCCTCAAAATGTCAGGCAGACAGAAAAGTTAAGAGAGACGTCTGGTGTCCCTATTCTTCATGATCTGAAAGCAGATGTTGTGGTACAGTATATGATGGCCTATTGTAACATAAATGAGTTTGTTCAAGATTCAAAATTATTTTGCACTGAAAACTCCAACTCCAGTCTGAAGCTCTAAACAAACATCAGTAGAAAAAGGGGAAAAATCCAAAATAAGGGCATAAAACACTAAAATGGAATTACCATCTCAAAACCCTGAACAATCAGACCAACTCCAGGAAAAAGAAAATCAGCTGTCCTTAATATGTAAAATAAAAATATTTTGTTTAATTCTTTTTTCCCCAGATAAAGTCCATTAATTCCTAAAACACAACAACTGTCTAGGACAGTATTTCAGAGGACTTTACATAACATGCAAGTCTCAAATCATGTTGTGAGTACTTCAAAACACCATTAAAATCCAACATCTGGAAAAAAAGATACATAAAGTCAGTAACATTTTCTGCAGAATGAGGTGGACCAGATAAGCCTGTATTTCACTAGTCAGTTTTCCATAGCTAAATCATATAATCTTATTTCCTTAACTCCTTTCCTAGCAAAGGGTTTTCTGAGGTAAACGCATAATGCTTGCCATTTCGTTTTGACCATACAGTATATCTCTTGTTCTGGCTGAACGCCATTCTGCAGATACCAACATTCTTACATTCCTCCTGCAGAATTACCTCAGCTACACTGGACAAGTCTGTTCTGTTGGGATCATCGTAATTTCAGTGTTATCGCATAACTTGAATTAGATATTAAATTCCCCCTACTTCTTGTTACATCTCTGATTGGTTCCAGAACACAAAAATGTTCCCTCAAACACCCAGACTTTACCTTAATACAGCACAGAACCAACTACTTGTAAGTAGCAATGTACCGCACAGAGACTTAAAGTCTACTGAAAAAATGCTAAGAATGTACAGTATGGTACATTCTTGTCAGGACACCATGTTCTAGTGTACCAGAGAGATGCTCTGTCATTGTGTATTTCAGATTCTGCCAGGACCCAGTTTATCTGTAAATCCTACTTATGCTAAAGAAAAAACAATTTCTGAGCTACCGAGTGAGATTTAGACTAAGTAACCTTCAAGGAAGACTGAATTTGAGGAAAATTAGCCTGATTGCTCATTGCTTGTGTCACTTTTTCATCGACAAAGTGATTCATGACTTGTTTACTCTGCCCTGTGCAATGCCATGCAAAGCTATGGAAAAATGACCATACTGTTTCATTTACTAATCTAATTCTTCATTACTTTCTTAAACTTCTTAAATTATAAAGAGCCAATGCCTGGAGTTAAAGGGAAAATTTGATTCAAAGGGTTAAGAAAAATAGCATACTTAGAGACAGATCTCCACCTTCTAAATGCACTAATCTTATTTACATTTGTAACAATGTACAAATGTACAATGTGTCTTTACAGATAACATAATAATGCGATCATACCATTTTTTCTTGACTAGGGGCACTCCCTGGAAGCTGGTCTATTGTGATCTCTATTCAGAACATTAAGTGTTTCTAGAAAAGTGCAGCAGATGACAACTGTTACAGTAAATCTCTCAAGTGCACAGATTAACATAAGAATACCCAACGGATATACTATTTGCATCGCTTGATTCTGGATCCACTTTCATTTAAAGTTAATAATAATAATAATAATAATAATAATAATAATTGCTTATACTTATATAGCGCTTTTCTGGACACTCCACTCAAAGCGCTTTACAGGTAATGGGGACTCCCCTCCACCACTACCAATGTGCAGCATCCACCTGGATGATGCGACGGCAGCGCGCCAGAATGCTCACCACACATCAGCTATTAGTGGGGAGGAGAGCAGAGTAATGTAGCCAATTCATAGAGGGGGATTATTAGGAGGCCATGATTGGTAAGGGCCAATGGGAAATTTGGCCAGGACCCAGGGGTTACACCCTTACTCTTTTCGAGAAGCCCCCTGGGAGAGAGTCAGGACTTCGGTTTTACGTCTCATCCGAAGGACGGCGCCTGTTTACAGTATAGTGTCCCCGTCGCTACACTGGGGCATTAAGACCACATGAGCCTCCTGCTGGCCCCACTAACTAGTGGGTTGCCAGTTGTGAGTTGCAGGGTGATATGGCTGCTGGTAAGTTCTAGTGCTTTGGTTTTTTTGGCTTTAAATGTGGCTGCTTAGGGCATAGTACCTATTATATTTAAAAATATTAGGGAATCAGACAGATCTAAGATTGTAGTATTTGATCGTAGATTGTTGTTTGATCATGATCATGAGCATCCAGAAAAATAAACATTAACTTTAAAGAGTGTATTGTATATTACCCCCAAATAACAAATATCAAATATATATATAAAACAGGATAGAAATGTGTGTGTGTGAAACCCAGGTCAAACAAAAGATACAATTGCTATGGATATTTTAATGTTTCACCAGAACATGGCTAGATTATAGGAATGGAAGCTGACTTTAATTGTCTAATTATGTTTAATTGTTGTTGTTGTTTTTTTACCTGGACTGTGTTCTATTATGAACAAATATCACAGCCAAGATCCTCACTAGGAAAAGCAGATGGAAAATGAGTGAACAAATAGATGACAAAAACATCTCTAGATATTTCACAGATCTTTAAGTGTTTCCATCAATAGATCTATAATCATATGTACTATATGTTTAAAGCAATCTTCGCAAATGACAACATGTTTTTCATCACTGGACTGGATCAGTCACTTGCACAAAAATATTACAGTTGCAGCTTGTTCTCAGAAGTGGGAAAATGCACTCTTGTACACTGTGCTAGAACTGACAAAATACTTATTTCTCATTTTTGCATCCTGGGTAGAAGGAAGATTATCTCCCTGCCAGC